ATTTGTATATCTATCTATCTATTTATTTTGCTATCTATCTAAAAACCAATATATCACTATATTAATCTGCCTGTCTATAGACTGATCCCTCTCTCCCTCTGTTGATCTACCTATATAAAACTAGCTAAATAGATCTAAATCTGTCCATCCATTTATCTTTGACACTGTCTGTGGCTTCAGAAAATGCTCCTATTGTTTTTGAAGCTGATTTCTGTTTTCCAGCTTCATCACATGAACTTTGGACCACAGAACTCTGATTGCAGAATTCAAATTAACCATATATTTCCCCCCAAAAAAGTGGGGTGATAAACCTCAGAATTTGTAACCCAAATGCCTTAGCCGTGGTGACATCTCTTGAAACCTCATGAAGCGTCACTTCTGTTTTCGGATGACAAAGCAAGTCATTCAGCAAATGTTGTGAGATCCAGACTTCTGCTTAAATCCTAAATGTCGTCACATGCAAATGATCAAATGCTAAAACAGATTATCATGAGCTGCAGAATTATCAACAGTGGTGACTAGTGGCTTCCACATGGAGGGCAGCAATGATCCACTCCAGATTTTGGCAGGAATCTTAAAGGAGCCTTCCAAGGTTCTGAAACTATTCATCATTTGTTCATCATGGATACCTTTTTCATTAATCACGAATCATGGATTTTGTGTATGGTTCATTAATTGTGTATGGTTAATTGTGTACAATGTTGCATATGGTTCATTTCCATACACAAAGGGATTTTGAATTTGAATTGACATTCTCTCGTACTAATAGCAGATATAGGTCTGTCCCTGGCTTTCCACTCCAACAAATGCACCTGAGGAAATAGACTTAAGTCTATGAAAGCTCATGCTTCCAACATCTTTCTTTCAGTTAGTCTCCAAGGATCTCAGATCTTTCACTCTGCACTCAATGAGCCCAATCCATCTGAGAACCTCCTTGCAAATCAAGGGAGAGTAAGGTATCCCTTGCATCCTTAATAATGTAAAAAGCAGTAAATGTAACCCAGTGGTTTGGTCACCCAGATGTTTTGGACTTCATCTCCCAGAATTCCTGCCAGTTGACCAACCAAAACATCTGGAGGACCAAACTTTGGGAACCACTGATGTAACCCTAAGTCGGATTATCTATGGTGTGAGTTGTATGCATTCAGTCCATGGGGCCTCATCTGCACCATGAAAGGCTCCGAATTTATTTCAAGGTGTAGCATTTGGCATATTTTGGGGGGGAGGAAGAGAAAGACTACTTTAAAAAGCACGTTTCTATTTTTTCCAGCTTTGGCAAGGAATACCAGAGCGAAAACAACAGTAATTATAATATTGCCCAGCTTGCAGAAAGCAGGGCCTGTCTCCTCGACACAGAGGCAGGCAGCAGCTGTGTTGCAGAAACCTTATCCTGGCATTTAATGAGCTTCTGTGCTCAGAAAAAGCACCCAGCCGTCATGGCGGTAGACACAGGGCTCCCGCGCCTCGCACGGGGGCAGATATTTTTCGCCGTGTCACACATTCCCCAGATAGCTCAGCTGCCTTTTTGCATTTCTGTGGGCTGCAGGACCTCGTGGCTATTTGCTGCCACCGTCTTTGTTATGAAAGCTGTTATCCAACATCAAGGGCAGTGGCGATGGATGGCCGGTGGCTCCTCATCCTCCTCAGTCCCAGTTTGCATCACATTTGCATGATGCGCAACTCATCAGTCCCAATGAGCGTTGTGCATCAATGGGCATCGGTCACTTTAAGTGCTGTCCCAATATGCCTCTTTGCAATTCAGTAACTGGGTTTCTTAGTATGCAGAGAGGTCTTGGAGCACCTTGGAGACTAACTGAAAGAAAGATGTTGGAAGCATGAGCTTTCGTAGACTTAAGTCTACTTCCTCAGGTGCATTTGTTGGAGTGGAAAGCCAGGGACAGACCTATATATGCTATTAGTATGAGAAAATGTCAATTCAAATTCAAAATCCCTTTATGTATTATGGAAATGAACCATACACAACACTATACACAGTTAACCATGCACAATTAATGAACCATACACAAAATCCATGCACAAAACCCCACTTTTAGGGGGTTCCTGCATCCCTAACCCCAGAGAATATGGAGGAGCTGCCATACCAGGAGGAAAGTGTTCCTCATTCCACACCGGCTTTCTTTTTCCTTGTTCCCTTGGATACTATCGGGGTAAAATCATGGGTACTGACCTACACACATACATGCACACAGAGCCTGCTACGCAAGGGAGCAGATCTATCCCTTCCACAAATGAGGAATTGATTGTTCCTGGAGCTCATTTGAGAGCTATGGACAAAGCCCAAAGCAATGCAGCAAAATAGATTTTAAAACTCCCGTTAGCTCTGGCATGGTTGGACACACAATCTGCTTTATCCCTGCCAGGCTGAGGATTGTGGTCTTCAACCACAGATCTTTTTGTCTACCAAAGGCATTTGTGTCCAAGATGCAAGCAAATGTAATCATTTCTGCACAGATTGGGAAGCTGCATCACACGGAGAGAAATGCCATCCCTCCCCAGAACCAAAACAGACCAAGAAGTAGCAGGAAATCCCCTCTTGGTTTTGAAAAACCAGGATTTTCTAGAAAATCTTAAACAGTGCAGAGGGTCCCAGTGTGTGCATATGTGCCTTGGTGTTCCCTGTTGACTTATGGCAACCTCTTCCCTTTTGGGAGTGAAGATCTGAGCCCTCATATTATTTCCGGATACATCTACTGAATATCTTCATCCTCATCCTCTTTTCCTCTGACTAATAAAACCTGAAAAGAAATAAAACCTGACCACCGTGTGGCTAAGAAGCAGGATGCTGGATGGGACCCAGGGCTGAGCTTTCATCCATGCCATTTCCTTGGGTTGCCAGATGCCAAGAAGCATAACGTCTCTTGCTCTCGATGCTTTTGGAGCAAAGAATTTAAGCGGAAAGAGCAAGGAGGACTTGTCTTCCTCCCGCTTTACTACTGGGGGATTCCTGCCAACGTTCGTTCATCCTATTAATCTCCTTGCCCCCTTTATCATCCTTCCCCAATCCCTGAGATATCTTCTTTAAATGTCTCTTTTAACTTGCTCCCTGTTTTCTATGAATGCTGGCGTTCAGCCCAGGAGGATTAGGGGATATACTTTAAAGTCCTGGAGAGACAGGAGGTGAAGGAGGCAATGTTCCTGGATACGGTTCTGAGCAAGTGGAGCAACCCAACCAGCCCCAAGGCATTACGTCTTGGCTTATAAATTCAGCTGCATTTGGTCTCTCTGGAAGTATCTTGCATGTGGGTTTAGATTCTGGAAACCGAGGGCCCTTCCTTATTACACAGTTATAGCACTATGGTTCTACTTTTTCTGAAATGGGCACATACTCTGGGATTTGTAGTTTGGTGAGGAGGCCCTAGAGGTCTTTGCCTAAGAATCCTAAATAAATGCCCTTCCTAAACTGCAGATCCCAGGATTCCACAGGAAGGAGCCATGGCAGTTGAAGTGAAACAATCTCACTATAGTTATGTCACGTGAAAGTGTGTCCCAAATATTGCCACATTTTTTTTGGGGGGGGGGGAGAATTGTGTGTTCCCTGGTGGGCCACATGTGGCCTTTTGGGCCGCTCAGTTCTCACTCCTGTCATAGCACATGATTGTCCTCACTTGTGTACCTTGCATTTAGCGTGCTTTGTTCTGGGAGTGTTCATAGGAAGGTAAAGACAGGCTTCATTTGCACTGGGTTAATTGCAGGGAATAATACCCATTTCCCCCTTCAATATCTTCTTGGTTGCCCCATTGTTGTGCTGCAGCTGGAGATTACCCCCTGGAGAGAAGATTGCATTTGCAAGCAGCTTAGTCATTTCATTTTACAAAAGCCAACAATTATTGCTCTCAAAGCCATTGTCAAAAGTCAGTTGATAACAAAAAGGACACATAATTAATGCAATGCACTAGGCATGTTTCATGTGCTTTTCTAAGAGAGGGAAAACAAAGTACAGATAACATTATTCTTCAAACACATTACAAGGACATATTCCCTTACAGAGTATATATGTGTGCATATGTTTTAATGAGGGGCTTATATCTACTTTTCAGACATGATTTTATCAAGGAGGTGAGTAATGGTGCTAAACAGAAGCACAGCATCTGGTTCCAAGCCCAGACAGTCACTCCATTTACATTTTATTATCTCTACCATAACCCAAATGAAAGAGCCAAGCAGAAGCACAGGGGATACAGTTTTATGGATCCATCCCATACATAGATATTCTCTGTCATTCATCCAAAACCAAGTTCACAAGGTTGTCTTTAAAATCCCTGAGCAAGGAAGAGTCTGGGCTTAAGACAAAACACTTTGTGAAGTGTATCACTCCAGCAAAAGCTGGGAAAGATCCCTTCTAAAATCCTTGGAGAATTGCAACCCATTGATGGTGCTAGTATTGACTAAAAGGGCCTTTGACCAACATAAAGCAGGGTCAGCAGTCAAAGAATGAATCTGCCCTGGGATGTGATAAAAATAATAAAATATTATGACTGTATAATGTGGAAGGGCCCTTGGTTTCCAAGACCTAAACCCGCATGCAAGATACTTTCAGAGATGCAAAATAATAAAAATATGAACTCTTAGTTTATAAGTTCCCTTTTCCCAAGTTGGACTAATAAGCCCTGAATAATAATAATAATAATAAAATTTATTTCTACCCCGCCCATTGGTAATCCATCGTTTGGAAGTGGGACACTCAGGTAGGAAATCTATGCTCTTTTGTCCCCTGTGCCTCTGTCTTTTTCTTTCGGTTTAACATATAGATAAGAAGGGGACTTCCTCGCTCGATTTACAAATGTTAATTAAGATATTCTTTGTTTAAGTGACAACAGTTGTTGTTGTTGTGTGTCTTTAGGTTGTTTCCAACTTAGAGTGATCCTAAGGTGAGCCTATCCTGGGGTTTTCTGGGCAAGATTTGTTCAGAAAAGGTTTCCCATTGCCTTCTCCTGAGGCTGAGAGAATGTGACATGCCTAAGGTCACCCAGTGGGATTCATGGTCCAGCAGGAATCGAACCCCGGTCTCCAGAGTCATAGTCCAGCGTTCAAACCATTATGCCACACTGGTTCTCTCTGGCTTAAGTGACGGACTCTTTGTAAACAAATACTCAAAGTTCCTGGTGACTGAATTCCACATACTATTTGTTTTGATAAATTTATTAGAGCAAACATAGCCATCTCCAGACAGCCCCAAAATGCTGATGAATGGGAGACAGGAGAGGATGTGATCTGATCTATGAGGTTGATGTTTCCAAGTTGTAAGAGGGTATAAAAGTTGGATTCTGAGAACCGTTCAGTGTCTTCTCAGTTGGGACCTTTCCAGGTGGACAGACCTATTTTTGCTGCAGAAATAAACTTTTTCCCCCTGCGCCTTATTCACATTATTCTGCAAATTCAGGTCCTCTCTGCTGGGCAAAAAATCTCACTCTTGTGATAGGATGAATTTCACAAACTCCACACTAGTTTCCAAAATGGTAAGGAGCTAGTGAGATCCAATGTGGTATAGTGGTTTCAACGTTGGACTACATCTCCGGAAACCAGGGTTGGAATCCCCGCTCGGCAATGGAAACCTAATGGGTGACCTTGAGCAAGTTGCACTCTCTCAGCCTCAGGAGAAAGCAATGGCAAACCCCCTCTGAACAAATCTTGCCAAGAAAACCCCATGATAGGGTTGCTTTAGGGTCACCATAAGTCAGAAGCAACTTGAACAGGCATAGGCACAGCATTCATATTAATATCTTAGGTTCCCAAACAAATGCTAAAAGGAGAGGGAGGCGGGAGCCAATAAACACACTGTGTTTACGGAGGTTGCAGCCAGATTTCCAAAAAGCAACGCAAACATGTTTATAATTTATGATGGAAAATATTTTCCCCAATTTAAGTGGTTTGGACCAGGTAGGGGGTAACCCAGATGAAATGTTTTGGAGAAATAACTCTCCTTCAAAACAATTCCCCCCATATTTCCACTGTAATAAAAGGAGGGAGGAGATGGGAAATATATATATAAAACACTTGGATGGGAAAATAAGGAAGCCATACAAAGGAGAAACAATTAAAAGCAGATAATTTTCCCTTTACACATGCCATTTAAAATATATATATATATTGGCAGTTGTTTGGATCCCTCAAGGTGGGTTAGAAGAATCCTCCATGACATTTTAAGACCAGGATATATTTTAGCCCTTTCCCTGGGTGCAATTTCACCAAAACACTTTGCAAGCAACAGACCAACTTGGAGCACAATGTGGATCCACTGCGGCAAGGAAATGGGGAATCCACTTTCAGTTTTATGGCCATCCCTTCACAGTTGTTTCAGGCTGTCCAGAAGCAATCTTGATGCTGAAACTTCGTCAGTAATGGAGGAAAGTGGCTAAAATGGTGAAGGGTCTGGAAACCACGAAGCCTTATGAGGAGCGACTTAAGGAGCTGGGTCTATTTAGCCTGGAGAAGAGAAGGTTTTTAAGAGATGATATGATAGCCTTGTTTGAATATTTGAAGGGATGCCATATTGAGGATGGAGCAAGCTTGTTTTCTGCTGCTCCAGGGAATAGGACACAATGGAGCCTCAATGGATGGAAACTATAGGAAAAGAGATTCCACCGATGTTGGCCATAGAGTTGCACTGGAGGACCTGGAGATTCCTAGACAGGTGTTCTCTCAGGTAAAAATCCTAGTGGTTTTTCCACATTCACGGGGGTCCTTCAACCCTAACCCCAGCGGATGTGGAGGGGCCACTGTAGTTTGTGCTCAACTTGGTCTGAAGAGAGGAGAGGAGGGTCAGGATCTTTCCCTTCCCAGTCGGCTCAGGCTCAAGCAAACTGCTGCAGCCTTTTCTGGCTTCTGGGTCCTCCGTCTTTCATGACTTTTGCCATCTTGACCACACTCTGATTCTTGCTTGGCCACACACCTGTCCCCGTTTTCCCCTGCAAAATGTCGAAGGGAAGGGAAAGGAGTTACATTTGAAAGAAGACGTCAAGTGACGGAAACAAATTATGTTTAAAAAGTTACTTTGCAAACTCTGATCAAAAGGGTCTGAAGTGCAGAAATATTTTCCCAAGCACTCTTCCCACACACACATACACACACATACACACACACACACATATACACACAACTATGGATTATTGACCTCTGTTAAACAACATTGGCCTATTTGTAAGCTGGCATTTTATGAAGACGTTTCTCTCTTTCTCAATAATCCCTCTCTTTTTCTCATTTCCTTACACAGAACATTAACATCTCAGGAGCTAAGGTCTGTCAGTCTGGCACATAATTTGCTTTTCTCTCTCTTTTCTAAAAGCTTCAAGGCTTCTCTTGAGCTCTTTCCTGTCCCAAAGGAGCAGCCGAGCGAGCGAGCGAGCGAGCGCGTGAACGAAGAAGAAAGGAAAGAAGGAAGGAAACCAGGCCAGCCTTCTTGATAAGGGGCTTACGTTGGCCGGGCGCCAGGTCCAGGGTGCCAGTTCCTGACGGATTACGAGGTGCGCTCCAAACGGAAAAGAACGGGCGCCTTTGTGCAGCCAGGCCATGCTTTCCACATTGGGACGGAGGAGGCAGGTAGGACGCATGCATGACGCAGGGAGAATTAAAATAGCAGAAATGGGAAGGAAAGACAGTGTGCAAGTAAACTCTGGGATTCATTGCCACAAGATGGTTACGACTCAAAAGGTTTAAAAGAAAAGGGGAGGTATTTGGTGGACAGAGCGACGTAGATCACCTTGTGTGGGAAGAAGAGTTGTTAGGAAGGCCACAAAAGAGGAGCCCAAGGGCCACAGTTTGCCCATCCTTGCATCAAAACAAGCACCGGCAATGTGGATTCCTGGGGCTGCATTTGACCCCCAAACTGTTCTGGTGGCCTTTGACCCCTTCGGACTCCCAGACCGCTGCAAAGTCAGAGCTCAGCCAGAGCCTTAGACCTTGCTGAGGTGATGATGCTCTCTGCCTTGACATTTCATGTGCGTATGTCTGCATGCATGCTCCTCTTCCTTCCTTAGCCGTCCCCCATCTGCCGCGCAGAGAGAGTCCGAGAGCCCTCAATTGGTTTACGGCGGCAAAAATTCCCTGTAAGCAGATGAAAGAATCAGGAGCTGCTAGGTAAGCTGGCAGCGTTGCCTTTGGCCCATTAATGCCGCACGTTGTCTCCAAGATCCCTCGCTAAGAGCTGGGCAAGCTCTCCATAGATCCGCTTAGCAAGCCCACGCGCCATCTGTCACAAGCCGCTCGCTGCCAGGGCTGGAAAGAGCAAAGCCGAGCAAAAGTGCAGGCAAATACACAAGATGACAGGGGCTTATGCTGGCCGGTGGTCTCCAAGTGACACCTGAAAGCAAAAGACAGGCCCAAGGTGGTAATGTCCATGCAAGAAGCGTCCTTGGACAGTTCATGCCAACCGGTATTTTGCAATTGCCTTTTTCTGTCTCCAATTCCACACTGATCTCAGCCCCATCGCTTTGCAATGCTATGCTGAAGCTCAGATAGTGTACTGTCAATGCTTCTCAGGAAATGGATTGTATTCTTTTATTTACAAATAAATAAATTAAGAATATTTTACACAAACAAATCCACCAAAAAAAAAAAAAAGCACAAAACCCAAAAGCCTTTGATCTGGAAAGTATAAAGCAGCAAGGGAATGGGAGACTTTGGTTGGAATCCCCTCAGTGGCATATGCATGTCCTTTTGGACAATGTGGACTTTGGTGTTCCCTTCTTCCCTCCACAGCAGCCTAAGATCCTCCCATCAGACTCAATGGAGAGCAGCACTCACTCACACACATCCCAGCTATTCTGTTTCTGGTGGAAAACGCGGGGGATTGGAGATGTGCTTGGTTGGCTGTGTCCCTGTAGTCAGATGCAAAATGATGGTGATACCTAGTACAATCTCCTGGGAATCCAGCAGTTCTCAGCAGGTGATGCAATCATTTTGCGTCTGGCTTCAGGTCCATAGCCAGATGCTTCTTCAAGCTCCTCTCTCTCTCTCTCTCTCTCCACCAGACATGGAGTAGCCATAGAAGGGCTGCAGTGGCTCAATAGTCAATCCAGGGCTCAGTGAATGGTCAGCTGTATCAGAAAGCATGAATAATTTAAAAAGACAATAATGCAAGGAAACATAGAAGGCAGTAGAAAGAAAGACAGACCAACATGCCAGATGGATAGACTCTACTAGGGGAGGTCAGAGGCATGAATCTACGGGACCTGAGCAGAGCAAGGAAGGACAGGGAGTCTTGGAGATGTCTCATCCACAGGGTCAACAAAACCATAGTTCTGCATGCAGAATTGCTACAGGACATTGAGCCTCCCAAATCAGGACAGCTGGCAGGCATGCAACAACCTCCTGAAAGTTTCTTTGGCTCCAGGTTTCCTCTGTGTGTAAAATGATCACCCCTCCTGACATTCATTCTGATGAATGGAGACTCTGCAGCCCTTAGGTATTATCTGTGTTTGTCAAGTGGGAGGGGAAGGAGTGTGTGTGTGTGTGTGTGCATTTGAGTGTGCATTTTAACAAAGCTACTCAATGGCAGATTTGAGGCAGTTCCCATGACCCATTCACCCATTGCAGCCACTAGGGTTCATTCAGCTCAGAATCTGACATGCTGAGCAATAAACCTGTTTGCACAGAAGGGCATGGCTCCCGGAGAGAGTCCAGCAAGGCAACAACGGATCTACAACAAGGAACAGATTTATAGGTACATAAAATGCCACGTGGAGGCATTTCAATTGGAAGGAAAAGTGCTCTTGAACCATTCTATGGCAGGCCCAGGATAAATATCTCCGTGGTTGGCTGGGATGTAACCAAGTGGGCCAGGAAAGAGTTAATGATTACAGGGAGAGCAGTGTTTCCAAAGGCTTGCGGTTTGCCAGCACCCTGCCCTGTGTTGCTATGAGCGTGGATCACCTGGCATTCCTCTCATAAAAACCCAGCGCAGCAGGAGCTGAGGGTTGCAGCTGGTCCTACCCGAAAGTCTGGAAAATGCAGTTCTTTCTTAGAATGGCAGAATCAGGCCTTGCCAACCTGCAGCAATGTTGGCAGGAGCCCCTTTGCACCACGGCAGGACACCAGTGCCCCTTTTTTGCAAGGGA